GCCGTAATACCTAGAAAGTTCGTTATATATATTGTATCGCTTATGGCCATTTTGTCCTTTATGCAAGTTATGGCCATTATGGTTATTGTGCCCACTATGTCTCTTACGTTTATTCTGGTCATTACATCCATGGTCGGCGTTATGCTTAAAATGCACAATATGGCTACTGTGACCATAATCGGTATTTTGATAATAAAACACAGTATGACAATCATTGTCACTCTGCCCTTTATGGCGATTACGCACATTGTACCCATTATGCTCACTATAGCCATTATACCCCGTATACGCATAATGGTCATTACGCCTATATTGCCCATTACGCTGAATTCGGACGTCATTGCCATAATGATCACTATAGTACGTTAGGCCACCACGGGAATTGTGGCCATTAAGCGTGTTGCGGGCATTAAGGTCATTAAGCTTTTAACGTTCATTGACCCGATCATGCGACTTGTGGATATTATCGGCATTATGCTCATTACGGCGGGTATGGCATTATGCAGATTATGTTCATGCGCATTTTACGCCCATTACGCATATTGTGCCGTTCATGCCTATTACGTGCAAAATGTCTACTATCATGATTATGTCCTTTATGAGCATTATCACCATTCGATCCATTATGCATATTATATACATTGCGGTAAACATACCGATTACGGCCACCGCAGTCACTATGGGTCTTGTAGCGATTACGTTCTTGATGCGCACAGTCTCAGTTGCCTCCAATATCCACATTATGGCCAGTATGGCCATTGTGGTTATGGCGGCGATTTCACACATTTTGGATATTATGCCCGTTGTTCGTATGTTACCCCGATTAAGCACATTATGGTCGTTATGTATGTTATGGCCATGATGCCCATTGTGCTGTTAGTGCTAATGATGTACATAATGTCCATTATATCCATTATGACTATTATCGCTGTTAGGAGTACTATGCCATTTTTGCTCCCTATAGCCATGGTGAACGTTATACCCATTATGCGCTTTATGCTCGTTTTGCCCTTGATTCCCGTTGTAGCCATTACAGGCATTTAGCGTATTATCAGTATTATGCCCATTGTGTCAATTGTGCACATAATACTGGTTGTGGACGTTGTAGTCATTATCGATATCATTCCCGTTCTGCTTATAATGACTGGTGTGCTCGTTGTGTCCATGATAGTGATTTGCCCATGATGCACATTATGGCTCTTATGCCCATTATTTCCTTTATGTCCAATATGCCCTTTATGCCAATTATGTCCATTATGCTCAGTATGCGTATGATGCCCGTTATACTCATTATGTCTATTATGCGCATTACATCCATTCTAACAGTTTTGGCCATAACGTGCATTTTTTTTGTGTTGTAACCGTCGGGCTAATTCTTGCCTATTGTGTCCTCGATGCTCATTATGCCTAGTTTAGGTATTTTGCTGTTGATGCCGGTTATGCCCATTATGCGTCTTTCGCGCATGATTGGCGTTACGATGAATATTTCCATTTATGCTCAGTATGGCCATTATGCACATTACGCGCACGATGACCATGTTGCCTATTATGCGCTTGTTCTCTTGAACTACCAACACTTTCAACATCAACATCTCCATATCTATATGATCCTTATGAGTCTTATGATTGGGAATGTTGATCTATCTTGTATATAGATTCGTATATAATTTTTCTCTTTTTATTTTTGTGTTGTGTGAAGATAGTGAATATATGTGTCTGTTTGCCTATAATTCAAAATGTATATATCTAAAGAAATATTGATATTGATCAATGAAGTATAGCTTATTTGTGTTGTCTGACAAAATTCAATTTACAATTTCCTTTTCAGATCAGATATCATCGTTATATTATTGTATAACGGCTAAGATGAACTTGGGTAAAATAATTTGATATGAATAATTTGTTTTTTTAAGCAACATTATAAAATATCGAAATAGGATTGTTAAGAATCATTGATTGAAATAGAATAACTATAGGAATTCGTTGTATTTCCTAGATTATTATTATTATTACAAGATTCATCAATTAACAAGTTTATTTTTGCTTTTCGTGATGAATAATAAGGACAAAAAAATGAAGAGCATCAAACATTAGTAAAGTTAAGTCGACCAAGAACATTAAATTTAGTAAATATTCTTTTGAAAATAAAGTGATTCTAATTGAACATTCGTATTCTACATATATATAGGAAACACAATCGATTGTATCGGTTGTCTTACAAAATACATCAATATCAAACATAATGATCGAATGATTTCCCAATATTCATCGTCGATTATCTATATTACCCTGGTTTCCAACAAATAACACACAAGATCAAAGTTATCCATTACTGGCGAATATACCACGTATGTAGAAGAGATAGAAGATAAGAAAGTGTCGTATGAAACTTTATTTCTATCTTTGATTTTATATAGCTCATCCATAGGCTCCACAAAGATTAGTTCGTCGATGTGCTAATACTTTTAAACCAGCATTCAATATTATCAATTATGATTCGACTATACCATCATTTTTACGTGAAAAATATCATATATTCTTTGGTGATTTACTTAAACGTTTAAAAGTGGATATGACTATTTTGGATTATAATTATACACGTTTAAATAAACATTTGAGAATGTTAGTTTATGAACAAATACGTGTATTACATCTTCGACTACATCAAATTCAACGAATCGATGAAAAAGAATATCCACTTGGATTGAAATTCTTTTTACAGTTTGATGGTATATGTTTTTTTTTGTTGATAATATTCTTGTTTTATTTTAATACATTTATTGATTGTTTATATTTTTGTAGTCAACATGTTTAATATGAAAACATGTTCATTTCGTTATACTCGACCACGCACATTAAATGAAGGTCTTTTTGTATACGAGAACCAGACGCTCGTTATGACTTAGTTGCATGTGGTAATTGTGGATTGTATTATCCTCAATATGATATGAAATATTGATCAAAAAAATCAATCGTTGAGTTTAGTCAAGCTCGTAAGCATACATTTCTTAATGGATATCAAGTCATATTAAATTGTTCAGTTGTATATTTTATTGAAATAGTATATTTTTAGATGATTAACATAGAAAATATTTTTGTTTTTCTAGTCATGTCATACACGAAATATTATTTATGCATTAACATGTCCATGTGGTAAATATGATTATATTGGTGTAACTACACAAAGTTTACATGATCGTCTAAGAAGTAAAGATATTTGATTTTTCTTATCAAAATTGAGTCTATTTTCTATAGAACATCGTGAACATGGTAATCGAATTATGGATGAATGTTTATTAGGACAAGAAAATATTAAATATAATTTACTACGAGAAAAATCAAATGAGTATAAAAAAAACAAGAAAGACCAAATTGCATTTCTTATTATGCATGTTTTTTGTTAATTTTCGAGTTTTAGCAAAAGATCGTGTGAAACTTTATCAACATCCGGCACGATGTCCAGTAGCTATGCAAATTTTTTTGGATGCTAATCCACAATATTGGCGATTTGTACCAATGACATTAGAAGAATCAACAAGACCTGAACAACAAATGGTTACACCATATACTTTTTCTGAAGAACTCAGTTGGACTATACGATCTAAAGAAGATACTAAAGTTTATGTTGATGCTGTTCCAAAACCATCGAAAGGATTAACTTTTTCCAATCGACAAATCATGTTACAAACACGATATTTTCATAAGACACGAGATAGAACCTTGCCAAATCAAGATATTGACTTATATGATGCCACAATTCTAACTGTATGTAAGTTGATCATTATTATTTAAGAATAAATATGTGTGATTGAAATATTTTTTTTTTGTTTTATATTTCTACAGTACCAGAAAGTTGTTCAGATATGTTTCGTCTTACTATTGAATCATTATTCATTACTTATGCTGAAACAAATCTCAATTCAATTGGTAATGTTTTGAATGCGAATCAAAATGGTGATCATTATCCTATGAATGATCCTTGGTTGGTTCGTGGCAGTGAATGGTGTCCAGGATTATTACGTCGACCTCAACCAAAAATTACATTGAAACTATAGATTTGAAAGACGTGTATATTATTTTTTGTTTTGTTTTCTTTTTCTTTGTATAGTGTCAAAAAATACAGGAAACATAATAGATTTTTTTCCATGAATAGTTTTGTTAATATTTTAGATTTAGCTTTCTTTTATGGCAAGCAAGTCACCGTTACACAATACGATCAATCAAAACGATCCTAAAATGGAACAACAATCGATAAGAATCATTGTCATATTTAAATTAATATATCTATAATTTTTGTTTATGTTTTAAGAAACATCGAGTATTATTCGATTGTTCATTGTCGACACTGTTGCATCCACCAAAACCAGTATGATCTTCAAAACGACTTGATCAAGTACAAGAACGACTACCGATTAAAGATCCGATTTTCATGTGTTTGAATCCTATGGATATAGGTCAATATAGAAGTCATGGTAGTAGTAAATGAATTGCAATTCAAAATAAAAGAAATAGAGGCCAAGAACATTAAAGTGTTTATATTATTTATTTTTATTTTTCCTTTATTTCTATGAATATTGTTTGAATGAACTGTTAAAAACATTCTTTTTCTATGAAACGAATCATATCTGTAAATCTTTGTTTCATATTATAATGAGTATTTGTTATTCTCGAAACTTTTACTTATTTATATTTTAGATAATTATATCAGTTTATAGATATCTTCCTCACATCATCATCATCGAACATCGAGCACACGTCCAACAAGATGTATACAAATAGTTGTACCATT